TTGATGACGTGCTCAATTTCACAGCATCTTTGTACTTTGACTTGCATAAATAACATTAAATTATTTTAAGGATACGTATGCGGTTGTGTCAATGTCTTTTGAATTGCTTTGAGAATGTGGATCTAACCCCTTTATTCACACTTAGATTTTTTGTTTGTGTAGAGTTTGCAGTTTTGTTCTGTGGCAGGTATTACTGCTCTCAATGTGCTGATACAGTAGGTGCTCTTCGGGGTAAAAATTCTCATACTGTATTTCAGACCACAAGTGATTTCATTGTTTGGTTTTGCCCTTTCAAAGTCAGCTCAGTTGTCAAAGTGGGGAGGGTAGTTCACAGGTATTTGGCTTGTGTTATATGTAGTGTGAGATATGTTTGTCTGATTCCTGCCCATGTGAATGATAAAATGCAACTCTCTTAAGTATGGAACTCTTAAATGCTTTTGTACTTTTTTATGTAGCCACAGGTTTCAGGGAAATAAGGTGTCATGTACATAGTTCTTGTTGTTTAGACCAGTTGCTGTTGTTAAAGAAAGGAGCAAAGATGGCCTCCGTCACCAAACCAGACAGCAGTATGTTCGGACTATGCTGTGATCAGCCTTTGTTATGACTGCGTTATTCCCTATGTTGAGTCATTCTCCCCTCCATGATGGAAACCTGAGGAAAGCCAGGAAAACTTTACTGAAAGCCCAGGAAACTTTACTCACGCCCATCCTCATGAATATGTAAAAGAACTACACTATAAAAAGACTCAGTTTTGTTATGTGGGTGTGTGTCTTGGTGGAGCGGAGACTCCTGGCTCATCCAGCGCTGTTTGCTTGTCTCTATTCAATAAGTTTGGAATTCGGTTTGAAATCTTGGTGAGCCTAAATTTATTTATAACAGTAGTGTTAATATATGTGAAAGAATATGGGCTCTGTAACTGTGGAAATAATAGTTTAAGGATAAAAAACAGTAAATACAATACAGGAAATGGATGCATTTATAGGAGAGTTTTATGAGATACACAGACACAGCGTATAAGTTACTACGTTGACTATCCAGCCGTCCCCTGATGAGCTAGCCTGCACATGCCATTTCACTCCCCAAAATTGACATCAGGTACTTTTTGCCTTTTTTCTGTCCCAGCAGCAGCAGGGTCTGGCTTGTGCACGGTGGGCACCCTCAGAGGCCAGGCTTGCGGAGCTGCGGGAGCGGCTCTCGATGCAGGCGGGCTCCTGGTCTGTGCGTGGGGCATGGCCACTGTCCTGGGGTACTGAAGGCAGAATAAATCAACTTAGTAAGTCAGCCCAGTTCCACTAGGTCCAGAGTGAAAATACATAAAATGAGAAAGAGCAACAGAGATGCTCCTGTATTTTTGGAAGAAGCTATTTTGCCTGTACAGTGTTTTTTAAGCATGTTCTGTATTAAATCAGAATTGATGCATTGTTAGAGGTGAGTGGAAGGGAAGGTGTATGCAAGACATGTATTTCCATGTTTTAGAGGAAGTTGGGTAGAGAAAGAGAGCAGGCTTATGAGAATGTCAGAAAGGAAAGATACCTTGGAAAGTATCTGATTAGCTCAAGAAAGAGTGCTTTTTCTTTAGCATCACCCTTTAATGAGCACAAAGGAAAGAACGGGGCGGAGATGGCTGAATATGTGGTACAGCTACATAGATCATGTAGTTTACTTCATACCCATTTGCATGGGCAAATGTTGTTTGTGTCTAAAATGAATACAACTTCAGGCTGTAGTGGAATATAGACACTGAATATATTATTATTAACTATATTTGTCTGATTCCTATTGTACATGAAATATGTGGTCACATACAAATACTAGTGTAACTGCAGGTTTTATATGTCTATAAAAACAAATGTTCTTGTAAAGAGAGAGGGTTGCCCTTTTATCTTCCTATCTGCAAATACCATAAGCAAACATATTATTATAGTTTTATCATGAAGTGGTTACATTTTAGTGAAATACCAGGTGTTGAGCATACTGTTACTAAGATTTGCTATCTCTACTAAAAACCTCTGGACTACTTCAGTTTTGCAATAAATTGAAACTAACCAGAAACATATTTGGTAGATTGGCTTGAACTAGAACCATAAATCAGAACTCCTCATAACTTAGATACAGGTGAATAACCACAAAAATAGTGTTTTGGCATTGTTTTTTTTTTTTCAATTTGGGTCATTCACAATAGCATAAATATTTTTAAAAGCAGTAGATCATTATTTTTATATAGGGTTAGTGCACTCCTGAATGACACAGTTATTCTTTAGAGTGGTGGAGATGTTTCCTTTAGTCTATGAAGTTTAGAGGTTTTACATATTTCTAGGTGCTATGTTTAACTGTCCTTCAAAAGGATTTAAAGTAAACTTGACAGTCAGCAAGCAGTGGAACTTTATCTTACAGCTTTTCTTAGTGAATAAATTATTTTTGTGTTTAAATGTGAATTTTATGTTGATGGCATTGGCTTATATTTGTAAGAAGCATTATCAGACAAAAATGCTTGGCATACGCATGGTGTAAGTGGAAAGGAATTAGGCCCTTGAAAGATCAAAGTGGTTTTTCTTAGGAGCTGCTGAATCTGCTAGCCTGACAGAGGGGAAGGCTGCTGCAGCTCCATGTCCCCAGGTCTAGCCAGTAGCGAGGCTGAGCATGTGTTCCCTGTAGTCACATGTGAACGCATACAGACACTACATGTACATATATACATGGTCATCCACACAGATCAACGCAGAAGCCACAGCACTCTCACAAACACAGACTGCACCTATGGCCTGACCTTGTTTCACCTTTCTGGTTGGCCAGGATGAAAGCCTGTTAGTGGAATATATATACATAAATATACGCATCTACAGTATGGATGCCTCCAGTAGCTGGTCTTTGGCACTCAGTCTATGCAGTTGCTGGTCTCTCATCCTGAGTCTGCAGTTGCCAGCACATGGGCATGTGAGGCTTGTTGTATGGCTCACAGCTCTGTTCCAGTTGCTGGTGCTCAGCCCTGCTCCTGCACACCCATATGTGCCTGTGCTCACACTGTGAGTCCTCCCAGGAGCTTCAGACAACTCAGCATATACAGTAGTTGACCTATGGCCTCTCTGCTTCCTCATGCACAGACACACATGTGCAAAGAGTCTTTTTGGTACCTGGTGCAGACTTGTAACCCTACCAGTAGCCAACCCTTGCATCCCAGAGGCCGTCCTGTAGCTGGGACCTTCTGGTTCCTCCAGTAACCAGTTGTCAGGCCCCCCAGTCACCCCAGTGTCTGCCCTAGATTTGTGGCTGCTCTGATACCTGGTTCTCAAGCCTTTTCTACTCCAGCTTGATTCTCGTGAGCAATTGCACACACTGCAACACATTCCCACACAACATACACGCACCCCACTTTCCCGAGTTCCTGGCAGCACAGACTTGTGCACCCCTATGACTCATGGTCCCCTCTCCAGTTGCAAGCACTGAAACTTCCAAATACACAGACACCCAGAGCTTCCTGCCCAGGAGTTAGAAATGGAATTTAAGAAGACAGGACAGACTGCAGTGGTCAGTGCAGGGCATGGTCAGACAAGCATCCTGACCAGCGATCTGTTTCAAGTGACCAACCCCTTTTTTCCCTGTGTTTACTAATGGTTGTTCCTCCTCAAACTACCCTAGTCCCTCTTTTATTGGCTTTTGTCTTCCCTAAACATCTCATAATAAGTTTTGTACCATCCCATAGTGCTCTTTCCCTGAATCCCCTAATAACTCCCATGCCCCTATAGGCAGTAACCCTCTGTCAAACTGAGTGGGGAGCCTCTTCCTTCTCTTCAGCTGGTGAGCGTCACACCTGGACAGGCTGATGGCTCTTCTGGGACAGCCCTGGGGGGAGCTGGGTCAGGGTGCTTCATTTTCTCAAATTACATTTTTGGGGTTTCTACCCTGTTGCTGTTCCTCAGTGCTTCTTTGTGTTTACGGTGATGAGCCTTTAATCACATAATTTAACAGTTCGTGTAATGGAAAGGTGGGATCATGTATGTGCTCCAATTAGGTAATTTGTGTTACAAGTGCATTGACACCACCAGTGCTTCTTAGGTTAATTGTTGTAATGGGATGTACCTAGATGGTGAGGAAATTTCCTGACAGGAAGATTTTTGCTTCCATACTAGTACAATTACCTAACCCAAAGGATTTAGACATTTGTGATGTGGTTAAGACCCTAATGATGCTGCAGTAGAGAATTGTACTTGTAAATATAGTAAATTAATGGAGTAAGATACTCTATATTATGGAAGATACATCTCCCATTTTAACCTGTATGAACTAGTGAGTAAATTATACAGTTTGATTTATCAGTGGGCTGTGTTTAAAGGGTGTTTTCTTGGGAACTATCCCAAAATGATAGCTTGTTTGCTAGATGTCAGGATCTGCCACACTAAAGAGATTTCAAGTAACAAAAGAGCAAAGAAATTTATGACAAGATTTTCCTTTGTAGGAAGCTTCTTTGATTTTCCTGTAAGAAAAAATGCTAACTCCTCATATTGATTTTTGCATAAACCCATGGGGTTTTGTCATGATGTTAGTGTGACAGGTCAGAGCTGAACATGGCAAAGTAAGGTGTGTTAGAACTCTCACATAAGCTCTGTGTAACGTGATTGTCCAAAGGAAGCCTTTGTAGAATACTCTACACTATTTATGTTTTTCTTTACAATATGGGATTTTATGATATGGTAAAAAAATGAGTATTATATATTGCTTAATTGATTACATGAGACCTATACAAAACATTTCACTTGAATTGTATTAGCTTTATATCTAATAGAGAATTAAGAAATCATGAGTTGAAATAAGCACTTTCCCTAAATGGCATGTCACCTTGTTTTGTATCATCCGAAGTCATCTATTCTTTGGCCTGCTTGCTGGTAAAAAACAGTGAAGAACTAAGTCATTCCAGAATATTTTTTTTTAAGATTACCTGGTGTTTAGGAAAAAAAAGTACATATAATTCAAGTTTAATGGGAATATTTTTATTTTTCTTAAAGGAATTGCCTACGGTTCTGCTTATTCATCAGATGGATGGGCATGAAGGTGCATGGACAATATTACCATTAATGAGAGAGTAAGTGTAATGAATGCCAGTTATGTTCAGAATTTTTGGTAAGCAAGCATATAAATAGACCTCTTTTTTCAGAAGTAAAGTTTTTGAATGAGAGTTGCAACCTTCTCTTTTCACTTTTTTTACTCTACTTTGTTTGTTTTCCAAAGCAGTTTTCTGTTAAATTTCATTAAATCAGAGAAAGCTATTTTAAATAAAAGAACAACAATAATATAATGTAACTGAACAACTACCTTCTTCAAATCATTGTGGGCTTTAAAATTATTAGGGAAGTAATCTAGTGAAAAGAAATACCATTAAAAAATGTGTATTTTCCTATTTGGTTCCCACTTCTCGCAATGTAAGGTGTGAGGTATTTCAGAATTTTGACCTTTCACATTACTTGGCTGATTGAAGCGGGTAAATAATGGTTAAAACATAGATGATAATAATACCTGGTTTAGGTTTCTGTCTTTTTTTGCTTACAGTGTTTCTAGGAGGTGGTATGCCTTTAGAGTGAAGAGGTGTAGGTTTCAACATCTTTTTAGAAGATTATATATCCAGTTTTCATCTTAGTGTGGTCAGAGAAGACAGATAGTCTCAGATATCTTTTCTTCTTGGTTTATGCAGATGGCTTCAAGGAAGACGTGCTGTACTTACATGGTAGCATGTTGCAAACCATCACAAAGGAATGATTCTTGTTTTAGAAAGTCCTAAAGCTCCATGGTGCTGAAGGCTATCCTTTGCCTAAAACTTGCATTTGAAATTGATGACAGAGGCTCTGCAGCTTCTTGAAATTTAATTTAGTTGATATAATTTGAGTTATTCAGAAGAATGTTTCTGATTTGGTTTGAGGTTTTTTCATGAGAGTAGTTGCAGGATAGGATGCTCCGTCTGCTTTCCATTGCTTTCTGTATGTGTAGAAACATGAAAATAGTGTTTGTTATAACAACTGTATTTGAAATACATGTAAACTCTGAAAAGAAGCAAAACGAGAATTAAAGTAAATTGAAAGACTGGAAGATGATGTTCCAACTATCAGTCATCTTTGTTATTCCTTCTTAGCTCCCGTTTCAATGACCTAGTGGTTCCTCTTCTGAATTATTTATGTCTTGGTGACAGAGTTTACAGATACAGCTCTTAAAAGATAGTGAAACTTGAAACCAAAAATGCAAATGTTCATTTATGTGATAAAGCAGCAGAAAATTAATCAGAAAACAGAAGAGGACCTTAAGTAGAGGATTTCCATCTTGAGGATTCTAGAATATGAATTTCTTTGTGTCTACTGTTTCACTTACCACTTTTGGCAGAATAAAGACATGGAGTAGTTTGGAAGTGTATTGATGTTGTGAGGCTTGTACTGTTCAGTTTTCTCAACAGACAGAGGCAAGTAAGGGAGATCAGCCCATTCTGCAGCAGCTGTTCATGCTTGGAATTGTGATGTAAGGTGCATTCTTATCTGAAAACTGTTTTCAAAAGAATGGTTTACCCCAGTTCTGTAGTTGTCAGTTTTAAGAAGGCCTCTAAACAGTTACGACAATTCTTAATTTTTAGTTATTGGGCACAGGTTAACTTTAACAAAATGCTTCATTTCAGAAGATGTAATAATAAGACAGCAATGAATGTCTATGACATAGTATCCTTACTGTCTCCAGAGGGCCCACTACATTTCTTCTTAGTAACCATGTTCATTAAGCAGATGAGTCCTTTTTAAATTATTACTCTGAAATGTGAGTCTTACCTGAGTATCTCCAATGGCCCCTTGCAATCTGAACTCCAAATTTGTGAGGTCTGCATAAGACTCTGCAGGCCTTAAATACTTAGCCTTGAAAATCATTCTGTTTGTCCATCAATAGCTAGATGAGCAGATCATTTGTTTTGTGAACTTTTATGTGCTGTATTCACAAGAGGGAGTAATTCTTTTTGTGGGGAGCATTCTGGTGTTTTCTCCTTGCCCTTAACACAGCTACTTTCATGTAAATCCAATTTTTTCTCTCCTAAAGTTCTAGCTGAACACAAAAGTGTGTGAGAAAAGCCTTCAGTCTTTACGGGGCATTGAATACTGTACATATTTACAAACATGAGGGACCTGATACCCTTTTTGTACTTGTTTGGCAAGTTTGGAAGGAACAGCTAGGAGGTGTCTTTCCCAGCTGATTGTATCTTGTTTGCTTGTCTGAGCAAAGAGTTGCTTAGATTTCAGTGTTGAGTAGGCAAAAAAAATGCTTTTATGTACTAAAAGGATGAATGGATTGTGAGTTCTTCTGGCTATTACAGTTTAGCGGATTAAGTATCATAAGCAGAAAGCAGTGAATCATCAAATGCTATTGCAAGACACAAAGGAAAGGTAGCTTCATAAGGACATGACTCATGGTTTAACCCCAGCTAGCAACTCAGCCCCACACAGCCACTTGCTCGCTCCCCCCTCGTGGGATGGAGGAGAGAGTTGGAAAAGTAAAAGTGAGGAAACTTACGGGTTGATATAAAACCAGTTTAATAGGTAGAGCGAAAGCTGTGCACACAAAGAAAGCAAAACAAGCAATTCATTCACCACTTCCCATTGGCAGTCACGTGTTCACCCATCCTCAGGCAAGCAGGGCTCCGTCACACATGATGGTTACTTCAGAAGACAAATGCCATCACTCTGAATATCGCCCTCTTCCTTTTTCTTCCCCCAGCTTTTATTGCTGAGCGTGACCTCATATGGTCTGGGATATCCCTTTGGTCAGTTGAGGTCAGCTGTCCCGGCTGTGTTCCCTCCCAGCTTCCTGTGCACCTCAGCCCGCTCACTGGTGGATGGGGTGGGATGAGAAGCAGAAAAAGCCTTGACTCTGTGTAAGCACTGCTCAGCAATAACTGAAACATCCCTGTGTTATCAACACTGTTTCCAGCACAATCCAGAACATAGCCCCATTCAAGCTCCTGTGAAGAGAATTATTCGAGCCAAAACCAGCACAATGACTTGTCCCAGATGGAAAAAGACTGAACTAGTTTAGCACCTGGCAACTATCTGGTGCTTCTAGCATGTAAATTACAAGAACTGCAGAGGCATTATCACATGTTCTAGCATAAGTATTTCTCAGATAGTGGGTTAGGTTTTGGGGGGATTGGGGTTTTTTTTTTAGGCAAATACTGTTTCCTAAAACATAAATGATCCTATCACGCGTTTTTATTTATTTTTGCTGACTTATATATCCACTGTTTAATTTCATTACTGATTTTATCAGTGGACAATGCTGTAGTGGAAGAAATCTGTGAATTTTTTAGGTGCTAATTTTCTTATCCCTCTTTTCAGATGATTTGTTTAATTAAATCAACATAAAAGCTATGCAGAGGAAACTGGACAAGTAAAAACTGGCTTTTTTCCATTAGGATGTCATGATTTAAGAAGGCTTTGTTTTGTTAAGTTGTAAAAGAATTAGGCTGGGAGCAGCAGAGAAAGAAGGAATGAGAATTTTCTGAAGGAGTTAGGAATCCTGCACCGAGATTAGTGTTAGCTTTGAGAAAGCTAGGGGAGTCCCTTCAATCTGTGTAGTTTCACTGTACTGAAAAAGCTAACAAAGGTTTTAGGTTGGCGATTATCAGTTGTGAGAAAACCTGTCATTAGACATTTTCATGATTTTTGCAATGGTGTCAGGTGCCCAACAGTGGGGCTGCTTGGAAGAAAGTTAAGATACAGAGGGGAAGGTAACTTAAACTGCTATCTACAAACTTCTGAATTCATAGATGGCTATTAGACCTATACTACCTATACGTTTCTGAGTGGGCATTCTTTATGTGTTTCTGTTCCCTTCTTTCTGGAATAACTGGTGCTATATCAATAGATAGCAGCAGAGGCAATATCTTTATCCATTCACTGTAGTCCTTTGATGTGTAGTAGTAAAGTTTCTGTTTCTGTGTAAATGAATAATTGATTGCAAAGTATTTGCATTTGGGGAATGTGGGTTGAATCAATCATTCTGTTCATAAGCCAGTTTATTAGTTAAATATTAATTTCTTTTGTTAGTTTCTCTGTTACCTATGGTAGGAACTCCTCATGGATTTTCTTCTGTGAAGAAGATACGAGAATACAAGTTGTAAAGCTGCTAGAAACACTTGGAAGATTTGACGGGTCTAAGGTGAAATAAAAATTTAGATATTTAACTTTCTTTTGAATGTACTTTTAGATGAAATGTGAAATAATTTTAATTGCAAAATTATAAATACAGAGTTTTAGAATTCCTAGTTATGGAACGGTATCCATGACCCATAATTTAATTTTATAACACTGCCTGGATGGCTCAGAGCTCCAGTCATTGGAAAAGATGTATCCAAACGTCTTAAAATAGGGGAATAGATTTCTGTTGCTGAGACTGAGAGTGAGCAAGGTTTAACATGAAGCAGTCTGAGCACCTGTCTAGCTGTCGAAGAACTGTTAAAATTCAGCAGAGAAAAGATTCCTTCTGTGGATAGCCTGAAAATGATGTAGCATCAGTAAGAAGATGAATATAGTCTGCTGTGTGGTCTCCTTTCCCCATTTTCTTGTCTGTCATCAGTTCTGATTATCATCAGGCAGAATGACGGATGTTAGTTTGACTAACTGTCACTGATCTAATATAGTAAGATATTTTATTTGCATTCTGTTTCTGAACTGTTGTGGTGATGAGACAGTTTTATTTACCTGTTGGAAAAGAAACAACACCAAAAGACTTGCAGAACAAAAGGAAAATGCAGTCACCAAGGAACAAAGGAAATCTGGCAATAAAACTAACGTGAAAGCTGTTAATGTTTAGAATTCTCAGGGTTCAAAAAAAAATACAACTTGATGTCCATCCTCTGCCTGGAATAGAAGAAGCCAAAATCTCCTGTGCGAAATATGTTTTTTCTGTTTATTGATAATTTGACTGAGTAGTGAACTCTACTTTGGCTCTCACTTTAGCATATTTACTTATTTTGGAGGCACATAGCCTTGTCATGTTTTCTCACAATTGTTTTCTAAAATGGTAATAATAATAATAATAATAATAATAATAATTCTGAGATCTTACATATTTAAACACTGTGTCTTCAAAATAACTGACTGAATCTATTTAGGGCTTTGCAATACCCATTTATTTCTGTTTCAGAACACTACTCCTACTTGATGTTCTCAAAATAGAAACAACAATTTTTGTTCTAGTTGCTGCCCTTGTGCCAGTTTTAATCTCTTCTTTGCATTACATGTAAATTCCCTTACAGTAATAAATTATGTTCCAAACTGCATTAAAAGGAAAATAAACTGGTTTGCATTTGTACATGGCGTAACAGTCCATAACTGATTCCTTATGTATAGTAGTAATCCATCAGTCACAAAATTTAAGGTGAGTTAGACTGGAATGAGCTCATTCATTATTAATTTTAAAATGTCAGCAGTCTGCATAATAAAAAGCTGATATACATTAATCACAATAAAAGGTCTACAAGGGGCATGTGGATAGTTGATGAATCTGCAGCTTTTCAATGTGCATATGTAGAGATTCGTAGCAGAACTACCGAGACTGATGTGAATGTAATATTGAGTGAAGACAGATGTGTGAAAGCATCGTAAGAGACTGTGGAGGAATGTTAAAGAGAATGACCTGCATTGTTAATCAAGGACATTATTGACTGCAGTAAAACTAAAAGAGGGGGGAATATCTGATTTACATACAGACCTCAAGGCAAGTACTCAGACAGTGAATTATATCTGAATATCAGGAAACACTTTTTACTGTGAGGGTGACTGAGCATTGGCACAGGTTACCCAAAGAGGTTGTGGAGTCTCTGTCCTTGGAGATATCTCACAAGCTGTCTGAACATGGTCCTGAGCAAATGGCTGTATCGGTGGCCTTGCTTGAGCAGGGGAATTTAGACCTGATGATCCCAAGATGTCCCTTCCAACCTCAACCCTCCCTGTGATTCTGTGTTTCAATAGCAGATTGATTCAACCTGTGCTTTCATAATGGAAGATGGCAGCAAGGTTAAAGCAAATTGTATGTGCCACTCCTCTTTCTGTTATCCTAACAAGATGATTGACTACAGCCCCAAAGATAGCCAGAATGAGTAAACTAAGCTGACTTAGTAGCTGTTGATACCTAAAGGCTATAAAAGATCTGTCTAAAGAACAGTTTGTCTTTGAGATCGTAAGAACTCTTTAAGCTGATATAGTAAGATACAGTGAGGATCTGACAGCTGAAATCTCCTGTCCTGTGTGTCAGACACAATTCTTGAACAGATTGATTAGGCACACTTGTCTTGGTATTTGTGAATAAGAGGATACGACAGTGAGTGGGTAGAATTGACTTGATTAGTACGTTAGATAAAGTCACTTCTGCCCTCCCTGAGGTCTGGTATTGAATTTTGTTGCATCGCATTCCTTCAGCTACTGATTTAAAGTCTTCTAAAGACTTTGGAGTGCTCTTAGTAAAGGTGGCTGACTTTTTGCCATTTTTGAAGCACAGTATATTGTCTGATCTAAGTGGATGGTAGTTATCCATAATGGAATAATCACATTCCTTTTTTAATCCACATTTTTTCCTATATGCAATTTGATTACTATCATTCCTTAAGTTCCTTTGCATATAACTAATTTAATCTTGTAAAGCCAGCCTGCACAAACTGTTATGACCAAATAAGCTTGGAGAGCATTGACTATAACCTGGAATGCCATCACTGTGATTTGTGGCTTAATATTGCCAGAAATAATATTATGTGAAAGCCTCAGGAGGTATATGTATGGGTTTAATTTTCTATGCTTTATAGAGAAAGGAAAGTAAGGTTGGTTTTCTTAATCCATAGCTTGTTTTGGTGTAAAAATTAACATGCAAAATTAGGATAAATAAAGAATTTTTTTTTTTCACTTTGTAGCATAACTAAGTGGAAGTCCAGAAGAAAAATTATTTGCAGATAGTACTATCATATTAAAATGTTACTATTTAGTAACTATTTCTGAAACAGAGTAGTGTGCTTGTGTTATGAACGTTTTGAAGCCTTGGAGGCCTTAAGAGTTAAAAAATGTTTGTGCACAAATGCTTCTAAAGAACTATTTTGATTCTTTCAAGGAAGACATCTTTGTGCATAAAATGAGTATGCTTGCCCATTTTATTTTACCTCCCAATAGTTTGTTTATTTTTCAATCCATCCAGTGAACACTACTGAATCCTTCCAATAAAGGAAGGAGAAAACAGGGTCTGTTGTGATTGAAGGTATGAATCTAGGTAGGTACCAGGTAGCAACTCCTATAAAGGTGGTTAAAAAAACTGTGGGGAAAAAAAATCTCCATCCTTGACTTCTCCATCTATTGAGTAGTGTCAGTTTAACCGACTCTTTCCTTAACAGATTGCTGAACATCTACCTCAGCCTTGGGAGGCACATGGGGTTTATGGGAGAAAACAAGTTTTCAGCATTTGTGTTACCTTAAGTCGTCACTAGTCAAGTACAAGATATTTTCAATTTAGTTTTGTTGAGAGTAGCTGATCAAAGTAGAGGGGAGAAATGTGCAGAATTCATGGGAAATGCACTCAGCGCCTCACACATACACATGCATGTGCATACCACATTAAGCTTATACCAGACCCTCAGAGAATCAGTGTTCCTGACACGGGTGGTATCCCATGTCTTTGACTCGTGGTTGTTTATATGGGTCCTGGCAATGCTTGCAGAGGTGGGTTCTCAAAGAAGGCAGCAGCCCATAGCTTTGACTCTGTGTGTGTGGCAAGACACGCATCCCTGGTAGCTCCTGAGGGCTGCCCTTTTACTGCCTTTTGGGGAGCCAGGTTGAGTTCTGCTGGAAGCGAGGGGAGTTGCCAGACTGAGTGTCCTCTAGTGCAGCTCCATGTGCATGCTCCTGCCAGGCCCAGCCAGTTGGTTTTGGCCGGAGGTGTCTGTTGTTGCATGAAGACTTCTCTTCTGCTGTTTGCTGATTCTGCCACATGCTGGCCAAATGTCACTTATTGCTCCTCATTGACTCTGGGGAGCTATAAAATTCAGCTCAGTCTCTGTAGCCACATCTGCTTGGAGTTAGGAGGATGGCTATTGAGATGCAAGATCCTCTTGGGGTTAGACCATTTTTCCCCCCTGGATGTTTCTACATTATTTTTGCTTGAATATTTTCCCTTTTGTCTTGAATTTTGTGTGAATTTATTTATCTCATGTGAAGTATGTGAACTGTACTAATGCCTTGAAGGAATTTTTCATTGTTGCTAATGGCTGCCTCTTTAAAGGAGGGGAAAAAACAAATATGGCAGGGAGTCTGGAGAAATGGAATCTTTTGTAAAAAACAGTTGCCCTAACTATGAATCTGTGTTAGTGATGAATTGTCAGGAATTGATAAATTTTCAGGAAAAAGCAAAACCTGAGTTACTGTCATAATGCAAAGAACTTCACAATTTAAAGATTTAATGTAACCATTAAGGTGATTTGGAATTCTGATTCATCATTTGTACTTGTGGGCCTGAAAAGCAGTTTATACATATATATATATATATATATATATTTTAAATTATATATACACACATATATTCTTTTTTTCTCTTCGTTACAGTCCATATTCTGAAAAAAATTGAGGGTGTACTTGTTTTATATCCATTCTAAAGAGAAAGATTAAGACAACTGACAGTAATGTTAAAAAAGTAATGTTTAAGTCTGTTAATTATTTTCAGATACAGCAGAGTCAGTAGTAAATTCTTAAACACTGTTATTTAAAACTAGTAATACTACTTAATCTTTTACTTTACAAATGCATACTTGGGACCTTCTTCATTTAACTCTTTTCGAAGATCAAGGTATTTAAAATGTATTTGCTTTTTAAGTTCCCTAGTGTAGAAGAGGCTAGACAGATGGAAATTCAAAATGGAAATGTATATAAAGTTCTTAAATGCAGTGCTTTTGAGTGTCTTGTCAGTAGTCAGTTTGGGTGGTCAAACACTGAAACAGGTTGCCCAAAGTGGTTGTGGATGGTATTCAAAACATAACTGGACAGAGTCCTGGGCAGCCTGCTCTGGCTGACCCTGCTTGAGCAGGAGGATTGAACTAGCCAATCTCAAGACACCCCTTTCAATCTCATGCCTTCTGTGATTCTGAGGTTCAGTGCACTTTGAACAGGTGGAATCCAGGGATTATGCTGGAGTTTGAAAATACAGTGTGTATCTGAATTACCTGTCTTTAGTTTCATTTCTTACCAAGTACACTTTTTTCCGGATTATTGTGAATAATACGCTTCCCTTGTTTTTGTTTTCAGGTTTGCTTTATTCAGCATGAATGCAGTCATCATCTTCACTAAAAGGATACTGTAGATGAACAAAATTGTTTCCTATATTCCTTTACAGGAGTGGTTTTTAGGTAAAGCACTATATGATGAAGAATCTACAATAATTCACCATTATGCCTTTGCCGAAAATCCTACAGTATTTAAATTTCCAGATTTTGCTGCTGGCTGGGCACTTAGCATTCCACTTGTTAACAAGTAAGAACTGAATTCTTAATCACTCCTTGTTTAATGTTAGAATTAAGAATGTTTAATTTATACTTTTTTCTAGATGCAAATCAATATTATTTTTATGAGTTATGATTTAATATGAATTAATATATTTTTATAAAAGATGGAGGTGTTCCTGCAGTACAGTTGAAGGTCATATTGCAGATCATGTAGACACACAAATTCAAATTTTAATTTTGAGCTGTCTTTGAATTGAAGCTGCTGATTGCAGCTGAGCTATGGCAGACAGTTTAGGGTTTACTCAGCCAATGCAGGCTGGCCTCTCATGGATTTGACATCAGAGCCTATGCTGAGCTTTTGCTGCTGCTACCTATATTATCAGCATTCATGCTGATACATGTAAGTCTGCTTTAGTCTGAGTATCTAAGGTGCATAGCCAGACATTCAACCAGGCACAATAATGTACAACTAGCTCTGGGTATGCCTACGTAGACTTGTGCTCCCACTATAAACTTACCCAGAAAATACTCCTTTGATACAATTCTGTTTCTTCCTTATTCTACACATTCCAAACATAATTACTATAATTAAATGCTTAAGAATTTATTAGTAAACAAGAGTACAGAAACGGATTTCTGTATCATTGCTGTGCATGTGATTTATTTTGCTTCACTCTGCCTTTCTGAAAGTTAACATCATGTCAGCTAGGTAATAGTTGTTCAGTAGTTCAATTATTTCAATACCATTGCTTGTCATTTAAAAAATGTGTTCTCCACCAGACAGAAGTTTTATTCCTGGATCTTAGAGTGGCTACATTGCCCTCAGTATAGAGACAACCTAGATACTTATTAAGGATTAGATGCTTAGATTTAAAGGAGATTTGAAAAGTTCATAGATTTCAGAAGTTGAATGCATCTTGCTGTAGCAGGATTGATGTTTTCATAAAGTGCCTAAATACTGTGCTTCGGAATACACAAAAAGATAATACTGTCTGAAATTTTTGATCAATATTGAGTTTCAAATGCACTGCTGCTTTTAATCTGTTGAAAATGTCATCCCATACTTCCCATCTACTCCAAATGACATCGTTCTTGGGGAGGAAGAATGTATCTAAATGTGTGTGCTGAAATCTAAATTAAACATCATCACAATGTGCTCAGATTTTTAAAAAATCACATGAAAAAGAAATATAAGTTGCTTCTTGGGGCAATAAATACAGAAGTGTGATTTTTTTTTTCCCCTTTATAAGATGGTCAGTAATACCAGCACACTTTGCTGCATACACTAGTGATTATTTTTTTAATATGTTTTTTTGAGTGCGTTTCTTCATCTTTGATTATATAGGCTTGCAAAGAAGTTGAAAAGTGAACCACTCAAGTCAGACTTTACAATAGATTTAAAGCATGAGGTAAGCGGTGATGTGGTGAAAGAAAAAATGGTCTCAGTCTATATATTTGCATGGTAATAAACGATAATGAAAGTAATAGATTTTTCTTAGACATTGCTAAAAAGTTTGACTGCATGCTTTATTTCTTTCCCTTCCTTTAGAATATTGTGATACTTTAAAAATATATTTCAAGCATAGAAGAATTCAATAAAAATGCATTCATATATGAATACATATATGGTTGTATACAGTAAGGTATCTCCTAAGGCTTGCTCTATAGAGAAGGAGAGAGACTTCCAATTCATTAAGCATAAGCTGACATGAATAGTATCTCAGATACCAACCAGCCTCACTCACTTTCTAAATCAGACTCTAAGAGCTAAACATGATGGAGTTTCGATTAAATAGTCCGAGGAACCTAACAGTTGTATGAACAATCAACTCTGCAACCTGCAGCATGGAGGTCTGGATTTTTTTTTTTTGGCCTGAGTTTTGCAGAAGTTTTAGAAGGTAGCCACTAGGTTTTTCAGAGAATAAGTGAGTTGACTGAAAGGAACATGAGACAAAAGGAGTGAGAGGATCTGAAAGAATGTCAGTGCTACTTTTTCTGAAGCTTTTTTATTTTTTCTGCTCTCAGAATGTTTGTGCTGTCACTGAAGTGAAGTCTTGAACACAGGGTGGAAGGGGAGGATGAATCTGGAATAAGCTTGCTGATTTTGAACAGAAATTAGAGTGATTTTGAACTCATTTTAATTTTTTTAAAGCTCCCAGAAGTCAGCTATAAATTGTGATTCTGACCCAGAAAAAAAAAAAAAAAGATATCTTAAATCTACTGCTGCTGTTCCAGGTCTTTATTCTGCAATGATTATAAACCTCGTCAGTTCTAACATCAATCAACAGTGTATTTATAAATTGGTAGCGTATTTAAATGAAATTGGTTTTATGCCAACATTACTATTATTTCACATAGTTCCCTCTTTGACTGATGTATTTCTCAAAAGCAGCTGGACACCTCTCAGCTTTCATTTTGCTATGTGAAACAAACCAACAAGCTGTTTCCTTCCTCTTGGTAATTTTTCTAAATGCAAGACATTGGGCTTCACACTGTTAATCTTTTTATAAGTTACCTCAGAGTCATTCATATATTCCCAATATTCCAGTCTATGTCAGCACTGACAAAGCCTCTAAACTGAGTGTCCTGAAAAAAAAATCATTAGCAGACATTTCTTATATGTGCCACAGATTGCTTAATGAAAAAACAATTGATCAATCAACTGGCAAAATTACTTCCATTCACTTCTTGTTCTGTTAGCAGTTCTTTGCATATGTTTCATTTCAAATTTATTGCCATTGATAACCTACTTCAGCCCTGTAGTTATTCTTTCTGCACAGTCTTGTGTCTCCCTCGAGACAGTTCCATGTCCCCTCATTTCTTCTTAAATAATTTTTCTCTATGTTCTTCTTGTGTGAATCAAGATTGACAACAAATCAAAGGATATAACTGTGATCTTTAATGATTGTGTGTAATATTTAAATTTATAAAGAATGATAAATGTTTTAAGAAATGTTTTACTTTGACAGAGTCCTAATAACATGTGCCGCTAGTCTTTGATATTTTATTGTTCTCTGTGTCAGGTTTTTTTCACCCTTCTACTTTCCAAGTCCCTGTTTCTTATATCCATAACATTTATATCACTTTCATCTGGAAGGCCTATCTTGCAAATATGGCGAAGGGTTTTTGTCATGCTGCTGCTCATTTTTACATTTTTTTTCAGACTTTTTGTAACTGCACAATATAGAGCATATTCGCTGATGCTTATTCAAAACTGGAAGTGAATAATGGATTTTCTATATACCTAACATTAGATTTGAACTAGGACTAAGACTATACTTTGTCTTTTTATTGTAAATCTATTTCTATTATTTTACGAACAGTCTGTCATCCTGTTCAATAATCAGAATGGCACTCTAACCTCACTTCTGAAATATGATAGCTTCACACCATTCCAAGGCTTTCTACTGAAGATTTAATTATTCAGTGGAAAATCTTAGCAACTTTCATAAATAATTCATGTTAGGTTACAATTGTTTAATATTCTTTGTGCTGCAGGAGCATTGCTTCTTTGTTGGTTCCTGTGATAGACGTTAATTCTGAATAGCTGAATTCTGAACTAATACAATCTTAAAATATACTGGAAGCTCTTTAGAAATCCCATCATCCCTTGCTGTTCTGTAGTTTTCCAGCTACAAGTGACTTGCGGAAACAAGACTCTACAACTGTGGAGTTGTAAAGTAGGTAGGTTTATTCAGCGCTGGACGCATGGGGGATCACTCCTCCACAAGCATGCATACCCTTTGTAGTTCTTGTCCTGCTTATATGTTACAAAATAATGTATATTCATAGAATGCTTATACATATACATAACATATCCCCGCCTCCCCTCGCTTCTTATGGTAATCAGGTCTCCTCCTCTTGCGTCTGCGCGTTGAGCTCCTTTGGTGGTCGCAAATTCATGGGCAGGGGTCCTATAGATGAAGTATCTCCTCTTCCTGGCCGATGAACTTTTCACCCTGTCCTATTGCACAGTCTCAATTGTTCTCTGACTCCTGGCCAAACCGCCAGGCCAGTTTGGGCTGGAATTTGGGTAATCTGTTGTTGACCAGAGGGGGCCTCTGTTCAGGCCAGAAGATAGTAGCCTAGCAACACTATCAGTATTCAGCAGGTCTATGCACACAGCCCTCAGCCTTGCACAGGCCTAAAGTTTTGATCTCGCTGCATCCCCTAAACTTCTCATATCACAAGGCAGTCAAGAACCACTTTCATCCCATAATGTGAATGTGGTGACAAGGCAAAAAGATAACCTTGGAGGTGTATGTGTGTTTATTGTCTGCTCCTTGCCACGCGTGTGTTGTGTGACATGTCAATTCCATACTCCTCCTGTACTCCAAGCACTATGAACAGTGTTTGTCTTAACTGACACTCAGGCTTAAGCATTTTCTTCCCTACAAAGTGGCCATTTCCTTTAGTACTTTGTTGAACTCATTTGTAATGCTAAGATCATCTGTGTTTCCAGAAGCACTGCTAAAACAGCAAATAAACAGACCACTTAATAATGGCAAGACTAAGAGAAATTAGAACTTGCAAACTGCAAAACTCATTCTAATGAAAGAACCTGCAGCTGAGTTAGAGTGGTTTAGCAAGTCAGTATCAGCTGAGCAGTAGTAGTGACCTTGTTTATACTGACAGCTCCCAGTTGTATGCTTCCACTCAATTACAAGGAAAAATACAGTAATTTAAACTCTTTTCAGTGCAATCAAACTAAATGTTTTTACTTCGCAGCTGAGGTGGTCTAAGAGTGCATGTGTAGTTATGACAGCCCAGTTACAAACAGTAAATTGCTAAAAAAGCATCAGGTAATTGTGTTCTGGTATGTGACTGTACACTATCGAAAAACTTGCAAATCTGGAAGCTTAAATTTCAAAAATCTGATTGTATTCTCAAGCTTACTCCCAGTTGTAACAGGGCTTGTAACAAACTGGAGCTTCTCTTTTATTCCCTATAAGTTTCAGAAATGGTTGTGTGCAGATAGGTGAGATTTTCTGAGGATGGTGAAACCTAAATGTGATGGTGTTGTGGTTTAACCCCAGCCAGGGTTAAAACCCAGGTTGAACCCCAGGTCCATGCAGCCACTTGCTCACTCCCCTCCAGTGGGATGGAGAGAATCAGAAGGGTAAAAGTGAGGAAACTCCTGGGCTGAGATAAAGGTAGTTCAATAGGTAAAGAAAAAGCTGTGCACACAAGCAAAGCAAAACAATGAATTCATTCACCACTTCCCATCGGCAGGCAGGTGTTCAGCCATCTCCAGCAAAGCAGGGCTCCATCACGTGTAACAGTTACTTGGGAAGACAAATACCACCACTCCAAATGTCCCCCACTTCTTCCTTCTTACCTCAGCTTTTACTGCTGAGCGTGACCTCATATGGTCTGGGATATCCCTTTGGTCAGTTGGGGTCAGCTGTCCCAGCTGTGTCCCCTCCCAGCTTCCTGTGCACCGCAGCTCGCTCACTGGTGGGGTGGGGTGGGATGAGAAGCAGAAAAAGCCTTCACTCTCTGTAAGCACTGCTCAGCAATAACTAAAACATCCCTGTGTTATCAACACTGTTTCCAGCACAAATCCAAAACATAGTCCAATACAAGCTCCTGTGAAGAAAATTAACTCTGGACCATTCAAAACCACAACAGGTGAGCAGGAAAATTGTTGTCTGTAACTGATTTGGTGACTTGGGCTTGTCCAGACCACACTTATGCAATTGGTTTGCACTGAGTTCTTCCTGAATGCTGGGGAGAAGGAAATGTTGTGCCCTCTTAATACTAGCTTAACAATCACATTATTTTCTAAAAGAGCAGCTGAATTCTGGCCTTGGTGGGGTTTAAAGCCAACAGTTCCGAAGTAAAACAGTGAAAAGGAGATTAATTTTCAGTTCCTTTGATGTGTGCTGTGTCTGGTGCCATATTCCAGTGAAGCACATGTTTTCCATGCAGGAATCACTGGGAATATGTGTAAATAACATGGAAAACAGGAACTAGAACCAAAGACTGATTCTCTTCCCTTGGAGGAGTCTCCTTCCCCCTGTGCAGTAGAGTCAGACTCCCCTTCGCTACACTATATTGTTGGTTCCACGAATCTTACTTTTGCACAGTGACGCAGTTTCATGAGGTAGCATGGAAAGTCTCTGTCCCAGAATATCTGTGGTTTGTGGGTCTAGGCACCCTTTTGAAAACTAGAAGCTGTAACTTCTGACTGTGTTAGGTAAAAGCAAACCTAGAACCCAGATCTACTATATCTCTAGTGTATGCTCGAACAGCTCTTGTCCAAAGATACTTCCATATGTTTGGCTTATCCTCAAGAGAGACATAAGCATTCAGAATCTGGAGTGTGTGACAGTGCAGCTGGGAACCTCTGAATCCACATACTTACTGAGATGTTATTTTCTGCCTTTCAGATTTTCAAGAATTTAATTTTGTTCTTACAAGTTTCCGAACACTTTTATAGGAAATTAAGTTAATCTTTTATCTGTTCTGAGGTAGGCACCTAGCATAGAATTTTCCTGCCTGAATACTTTGGCAAAGTTATAAGCAGTGTAAAAATACTGCAATAGAAATGTTGGGTAGGTCTAAGTGTTCTTGATGTGTCATAAAGTACAGATTGAAATATTACTCTTTTTAGTATGAATTGAATGTAAATACAAAGGGTTGGGGGGGAGATGTGTATAAGA